AGATGGGAACATGATAGACCATGGCAGGAGTTGCTTAATTATCTTTTTTACCTATGGTCTTTTTTGGATGGAGACTATCAAGGGGTTTACAAGGAGAGATTCCAGAAAGTGCAATTTAAGTTTCTACGCGAGGTTTCAGCACATTGTAATTTAAAGGATAGATGGAAGGCAATAATATACATGAGAACCAGCAACTACGTCACAACATCTTCCGAATGCAACCTGAGCTATTTCCAAGCAAAATTAACGTAAATATCATTTTGTTTAGTGCTCCATTTATTGGCAAAGCTTTGAGAACACTCAAAAGGTGGGGTTCTAATACAGATGGGAGCTTCTAGTTCAATGCTTGGTAATTGGCAGAGCCCTATCTGTTTCTTTTCCACTCTACTTATGTTTAACCCAGTCTTTTACAACCAAAAACAAGCTCAAACTGCCTTTACACCTTAACCACTGCTTACCCACTCAAATGGAACTTGTTCCCCTTAATCTACTTCTCTGGTGATTCATTTGGAAATTGAATCCTTCTCTACTACATTCCTTCCTTTTTCCATTTATTTGATGCTCTCTCTTTTTTTCCTATCCTTTTACAGGGTTCTAAAGGGAGAATTTCGCATTATAATTCAACAGAATGGGCTAAGATCTCTATCTTGAAACAGGACTATAAACCAAGAAGGTGGTCAAAGACGAGTGCTGACCAACTGAACACCTTGCTAGTGTTGCCCCCTTATCAAGAATTTTTAGCTTTAGTCAGCTTTAATAAATCTTCTTGACATTCATATTGGGCGCCCTAACTTGCCTCACAATCTCTAGACATTTAAAAGATGGAGACAGGACAGTAAATGGATTATAATGTATTAGCTATTGTACTATGTTCAGTATAAATCTTAACAAGAAACAAAGGGCACCATTGTACAACAGGGAACAGAGCATATGATCTTGCAAAATAACAGACATAAACTTAAGAGACAAACTAAATTTGCATGCCATGAACAGAAACTCTGATATGATTCCCAGTGTATAAGATCATAAGATATACATCCATCAACAGCATTCAAGTGTTTCCCCTTGCTGAGAAATACAGAAAAATACATACTGCCGGTGAGGTGACGGACGATAAAGAAAAGAGCCTATCTTCAGGTTGAAACTTCCTGGACCGTTTCAAGCTGCAAAATAATTAAAAAGAAAAAGGCTAATTTCAATAAATAAACATATAGGCGAACCTTAAGTTTAGGCCGGAAAATTGAAACCTAAAGAGAGTGATTGAGTAGATTTTTAAAATCATCATTATATTACCAGACCATTAATGGAATAAACTAATGATGATACTCTTCTATTTCTTAGGAACAGCAGTTTCAATAACATTTCTAACATCAAATAGATGTTTATTACTTTTACTATATGATATTCCCAAAACACTGAAGTAAATATGTGGTCTACATGTTCCTCCAAGTCCCCGACAACCACTAACCAACTCGCTTCTCCAACTCTTCTCGTAATAGTTATGTGAGTCAAAGTAAATAACAAAAAATAGGATGCAGGGAAGGATCCTTATATTAGTGGTGTCAATTTCAACTTGAATGCATTTCAGCTAATCCACTGGACAAACTGTCCAACCCACAACGTATTGCAAAGCATTCCGGCCAACCAAACAGGAGGATGGGCTCACACTAAGTGTTATAACTGCAATTCGAACCTGGGACCTCCCTTCACTACTAGTCCATCCCCTTGGATACAGGAATTATAATTTTACGAACAACTGAAACGCTTAATCACGTGGATCTATTCAGCACAATCAGCCCAACTAAAATGTCAACAACATTGGGTTTATACGAAAGTCTAAAAAGTTCTTCGGTACTCTCATCTTGTAGAATTTAGCTCCGTGATGAAAATGAATTGCAACTGTTGTTATTCACACACTTACAACGTGATTAATACTCTTCCATGCGTCTTCTTCGAAAAACAAAGGAGATAAGACAGAGAGGGGCAGCAGAACTAAGCCTTTAAAAAATGAGTCTCACAAGGTGAGACAATGACACAAAGCTAGCTCATTTACATCATTGATGAACTTTTACTGCCTTTGCGTAAATATACACAATTACATTTTACTAAGCAAAAGCAAAATGCCAAAAGTAATTTGGATGTATTCTACCTTCTTGCCCACATCCATCACAGAACATTGGCTATCAAAATCTTGTCCCGTACCAACCGTATGCTTTTAGTCTTTCCTATTATACACCTTCCATGAATGTGCAAGTAACTTAACCACTTGTAATTTGTGAACACAAATTTACTTGTCCATAGTATCATCATAATAAATTGCGATATAATTACTTACATCAACTTCAGCAAATTATGGGACTACATTATTCTCTTGACAGCAGAGGGTTTTCTTACTTCTTAAGAAGGAACAGAAAGTGGAGAGAGAATAGGCTTGTATCATCATAAATGCTAAATCAGCATGATTGTTAGTCTCCACTCTCGCCATTTCTCTTTGAAATCCTTACCTCCAAACATACCACACTAGGAAAGCAATCCACTCAAGAAGCACTAGAGTACATCAAGACCTACATCCATTTCTCAAAACCAAGTCATCAACAATATACAATTATATGCATTGCTTTATCCTAAAAAACAAGGTCAAATGAAACAACTAAGCTTAATTCGGCACTAGTTAGGGTCAGGTAAATAAATTCTATGCATGCATTCATCATTCTGCTCTATTCAGACGCAACTCATTGCAATATCACAGCCACCCTAGGTCTCATTTAAAACTTACAAGCTGGTACTCTTGGAGGAAGATAAAAACCCTTCAAACCCTTTTAGTACATTTCCACATTGGCTAGGATCCTGTAGGTAAATAGTCTCCATGTCATAAACCTGCAAGTCAGTTAGAATTTCAGGGAATCAATGTTGAAACCAAACATAAAACACAAACCCCAGAAATTTGTTGACCTGTTTTTCGAGGTTCCGTAGATCTTCGTGAAGTTTAGCTCTTTTTGACAAGAGAGTAGCGAGCACTGCCGAGGGATTGGAGGATGTTCGTTGCCCTAAAATGGATTACGTGACAGACATAGTTGAACATATTTGTTAAGCAAAAATTAGGAAGAAAGAAGACAAATAGGGTTGAACCGAGGGTTTACCTTCGGCTTCCATTGAAATTTTGTGGGAGATGAAGAAACTGTTTATATAGGTTTCTGATAGCAACGCTGGCAGCTTCTGAATCCTTCCGATCTTGGGACAAAAAGGAGTTTTTTTTCTCGACGTTGACGTTTCGGCCGTTCAGATGGTAGTAATTTTTTTCCAATAAAATAAAATAATTTTTTTTTGTTGTTTAGCTGTTGAAATAACACACTTTCTAAAAATATGTAATATTAAATATTAATAGAATTATATATTATATTATTGGGAATATTGATTCATTTCTTTAACGATATGTTAGGGTTAGTAATTGTGGAACCATATGGTGCTCGTTGAGTTAGAAAAGGTATGCAATAAAGTATTAAGGAAGGTTTATGGAGATGTTCGGAGTTGAGAGGTTTATATATAGCTAATGTTAGAGTTATTAAAGATATGTGCAATGGAGTAAAAATTGGAGTTAGAACAGTGAAAACAGTCTCGAAAAACTTTCTAGTTAAAATGTGGTTACACCATGAATTTGCTTTTTATTCAACTTTTATTTGTCTCGACGATAGACGATTTGACATGATACATGTAAGGGGAAGTCTCATTGGTATTGGCATGACATAGTATTTAATGAATATACACACGACAAAATTAATGATAAACAAGAGGTTTGGAGACGTAATCTAAAGTATTAAGGTTTCACGATGAGAGAGACCAAATTGAGCACGTGGAGTACAAGGTCAGTGACACTTTGTTTGAGACAGATGTAAAAGTGACGGTGTCAAAGCAAGGAAACTTCAAGTATGAACAATCCAACAAAAATTGATGATAAGGTCATATATTGAATTAAAGCAGTGTGTGTGAAATGGAGAATTGTACATATAATGTCTTATTTGATGAGAAAGTGTAATTGAAACTTAACGATAAGTTTTATAGAATGATTCTATACCAACGATATTGTATGAGAGAGTATTGATCAGAAGATGAAAACAAAAGTGAAAATATAAATATACAAATATAGCAAAGAAACAAGATTAGAAACTAAATAAAAAATGATTTTCGTAATAAATAAAATGTGAGAAATAATATTAAAATGTTATTATATGCATGTGAGGAAGATTAGCATAGATGCCCTGATAGAAGTGCAAAAAGTATATAGTGTTAAGATTCAAAAAGAGATGGGGTTAATATTGAAAAATCATATTTTTCTACAATCAGCTGTATATAAAATGTAGTCAGCAAATAAGTATTTTTGGATACCTTCCTGTTATTTTTATGTAGTTGATAAATAAATTAACGAGAATAAGTATGTGTAATCAAATGTTTACGATTACTATAGTTAAATTACAATGTAAATAAGAGACATGTAAAGAAATTTAAACATATTTAGTCGAAATACTAAATATATTGAAATACATTAAATTATCGATTTAATATATATATATATATATATATATATATATATATATATATATATCACGACCTATCTTTATCTAATCACGCGATTCAGCCTTTTAATTTTGTATAATTCTCACGTTTATATAATTTAAAATGTTGTGTAATATAATTTGTATAACATTTTTATAAGTCGAAAGTTGAATAATATAATTTGAATATATACTTTGTCTTCTGAATTCTGATGTTTATAATTGTATAAATTCGCTATTTTGAATGTATGCAAAAATAATTGAATCATATAAATATATCTGTAAATTATACAAACCTTCGAATTATATAAATTTATGAATTATACAATGAGATAGTTTAAACTATAGCTACATCCGTAAATGTGTAAACTATAGTTATGACCTATAAAGAATAATTAAATTTATCATAGTGGCTATTTGTGGAAGTTTAAAAAAAAGAAAGTGCCATTTTTTTCAATTCCAGCGTTCAACTACAGGCCCAGCAAAACGGGCCGGGTCGGTCCACACCGCCTCCACCAACTAAACCAGACGGTAGCCGTAGAACCGCCATCTGCCCAAAAGTATAAATGTATTTCCGACTCGAATTCTAATTGCCGGCCGGAGAGTATTATATTTCTAGGGTTTCGTCAATCCAAATATTTTTTGGTTTACAGAAGTAATTATGGCTACCGCATCAGGTGTGCAGTTATTTTAGACCTAGCTTGTAATTTTGTGTTCGATTCATTCGTTATTTTTATAAATGTTTGGAATTTCAGGTGCATTTAAATCTAGGGAGGATCACAGGAAACAGTTGGAATTGGAAGAAGCAAGAAAGGCTGGTCTTGCTCCGGCTGAGTTGGACGAAGATGGAAAAGAGATTAATCCTCATATTCCTCAGTATATGTCTTCCGCTCCTTGGTACCTTAATGCAGAAAGACCAGTATGTATCTCTTCTTTATTTTGGGGCTTTATGGTTTTCATGCTCAAAATTTGACCTTTTTCAATTGTTTCGGTGTTTGCAGAGTTTGAAACATCAAAGGAACTGGAAATCAGACCCTAATTACACAAAATCATGGTATGACAGAGGTGCGAAGATATATCAGGCTGACAAGTATAGGAAGGGTGCATGTGAAAAGTATGTGTGTTTCCTTGCTTCTTTGGGTGTTTAAGTTTGTGTGTTTCTGTCTGTGGCATATGCTTAATTTCATTTGTCATTCATTGGCACTTAGTAGCTCATCTTGCTTGCTTTGGAGTTCAAAAGAAATCCAACTATGAAGACATTTTACTTTGGAAATTTAAATTTTGAACTTGTATGCTTGCTGCCTTCCTTAAATGTCTTGGTTCATGTGATAAGCCATTTTCTTATAAGTTCCATATGGATTTCATTAGATGCCTTGGTTCAAGTGATTAGCCATTTTCATGAAGGTTATTCAAGGAATCCTGAAAGATGAATGTACATTTGTTTTTTGTGCAGCTGTGGAGCAATGTCCCATGACACTAGGTCATGTATGGAAAGGCCACGCAAACTGGGAGCAAAATGGACAGGGAAACACATTGCTCCTGATGAGAAGATAGAGCAGTTTGAGCTGGACTATGATGGTAAAAGGGATCGTTGGAATGGTTATGATGCTGCTTCTTATGCCCACGTCATTGAACGATATGAAGCAAGGGATGAAGCAAGAAGGAAATACCTCAAAGAGCAACAACTTAAAAAATTGGAAGAAAAAAATAACAAGGATGACAAAGAAGGAGGTGATAGTGACAATGAGGATTGTGAGGATGCTTTGAAGGTAGACGAAGCGAAGGTTGATGAAAGCAAGCAAATGGATTTTGCCAAAGTTGAGAAGCGTGTGCGGACCACTGGTGGTGGTAGCACAGGGACTGTTAGGTAAGTTTTTCTTAATATCTTTTCTGGGTCATTATGGTGGTTAGGTTGTTGGAATTTTTCGAATATTGTGGTTGAATGCTATGCTCTATTGATGCATCTTTCATGACCAGGAACCTGCGTATTCGGGAGGATACGGCTAAATATCTTCTCAATCTTGATGTAAATTCAGCACACTATGATCCCAAAACACGGTCCATGCGTGAAGATCCTCTTCCTGATATGGACCCGAACGAAAAGTTCTATGCTGTAAGTGCTCCTAATCAAAAATGGGATTTTACTCTCTCTCTATCTTTTGTTATATTTATGTTTATTAACTCATTGGTCGTTTTTCTGTTTAGGGCGATAACCAAAACAGAGTTAGTGGTCAAGCATTGGAGTTCAAGCAGCTTAATATTCATGCCTGGGAGGCTTTTGATAAGGGTCATGATGTTCATATGCAAGCAGCTCCATCCCAGGCAGAATTGCTCTACAAAAATTTTAAGATTAACAAGGAGAAATTGAAGGTGCAAACTAAGGATGATGTCATGGAGAAGTATGGCAATGCAGCTAGTGAGGACACACTTCCAAGAGAACTCCTACTGGGTCAAAGTGAGAAAGAGGTTGAATATGATCGTGCTGGTAGGATTGTGAAGGGACAGGTAACTGTTTACTTAATAGCTGCCTAAAATTGATTGGAGTACTATTCAAGTTTAGGTTTTTCTTGGGGGGTTTGCGGGGGGGGGGGGGGTAATATCTGTTGATATATTTCTATTTTTTTTAATCATTATTTGTTAAATAGATAAACACACTTTTTGTCTCAAAAAAGAAAGTGAAAAATTCTTGAGTATGTTGTCTAAATATTTGTTTGTGCCGGTGTTGGATTAGTTATATAACCAACCTAACTTGCTTGGGATTGAGGCATAGTTATAGTTTTGTATTAAATTGAGTGTCATGGATGGTTAAAGTTATAGTTGTCTGTACTTTCTCATCCCTTGGAGCAATTCTATGGGGGAGACTAGGTACTTCAAAATATTTGCATAGAACACTGATTCTTTTCGAGGATCTATTTCAGTGAAGCAATAACCTCTGTATATATTGATCAGGCTATATCATGATTCAAGTCTAGCATGAAGCATCTCCGTCTTTGAAGTTAGCCAATATATCCAAAATATAATTGCAATCTTAATACTTTTAACTGCTCTACTGTAATTTAAGATCTTTTGTTGATGCTATATCATTCCTTTGATTTTTAAGGAAAGGAACGTGTGTTCATCTAAAAACAAATGTTTCACCGAAGGGAGTTGGAATTCGGAAAGAAAGAAAAATACAAAATATTCTCCCATTGCCTCTTCTAGGGCAGCGTAACTAATTGGGGATTCAAAACTTCCCTTATCTGAATGAGGTTTTTCGAATATTTCTAATTATGTATATACATATTAATAATATCTTAACTTGTAATTAGAGTTTGTTTCTGTTGTTTTTGAACATATAAATTACAATATTTTCTTTGATGTAAGTTTGAACCAAAAGATAGATTGGTTGATCCTCGTCGAACCTCGTCAATCTTTCTGGGAGGGACGGTGTAGATTATACATGTATTTTTGGTGACAGTAGTGGACTACTACCATTCAAAGGCTGGATCAAGATAGTATGTCATAAGAATATAAAATTAACCTCTTTCAAAATCATGTCCTAAATAGACATCTATTCAGTTGCTGCTGCCCCTGATGTATATAGTGGTAAATCAAATTTTAAAGCTGCTTTTCAGTTGTCTGTAATAATCACAACAAAAATGACGCCTAAATTTTGAACTAGTTGGGGTTGGCTGAATGGATTCTCTACGTCATGCTGCTCTACTGGACATAGTTTACTCATTCACTGACCATCATCACCACTTCCCTCTGAAGGTGTGTAACTGTCGAATTGAAAGGGAAGACTAGAAATGAAGTGAATGGAAGAGGGATAGCATGAAGGTTTATATATATATACTGTAAAAGAAAAATTCTAAAACTAGATTCTTTTGTATTTAGCTTGTATGGTCTAGAACTAAGCTCCACCACTGACTGGAATGGGGAAGAAAAGAGAGAGAGAGAGAGAGAGAGAGAGGAGTTTTCAAGCGAAGATTTAAAAAAAAACATGTACACTAGGTTGAAGTGGTGTTTTTGACTACTAACATAATGGTAAAATTAAGTCTGTTAGGTGTCGTTTGGTTTGAAGACAAGTTATGTGGGGACTAATTATCTTATAAGTTATGATGAGATTTAATTTTTATTGGTTGTTTGGTTTGTCAAATATGCTTGGCATAATTTTTTAGAATAAGTTGTTTGGTTACAAAAATGCCCTCTTAAGAATAAGTTTGTTTATAAAAGAGGGTTTAAGGGGTACTTCTGTTATTTAACATCTTTACCTGGGATACGTTATTCCGTGATTATTGTTTCACCCACAAGTAGTGATAACTTATCCCAGTCATAATTATTGATCCTGGGATAGTTTTTCCAACACTTCGTTATCAAATAATGAATTTAGGGGTACTAAAAACTTATCCCGAGATTATTTTCTTTATCCATCACACCAAATGACCCCTTAAGGTCTCAATTTTCCTTTTACATAAGGATAAACAATTAACTTGGATTTATTGAAGGCAATATTTTTTGATGTGCCATTTATTGTCTGAGAGAGATGATAGTTGTTCCTACTTATGGAACGGGGTTCGGAGTTCTTAGCTTGTTCAGTCTATTTGTCAAGTTCTATGTTTTCTTTTGTGCATAAATGACGAAGAATTATTTGTATTCGAATAGATGGAAGGGAGTGTGCAGTCAAATATTTCCGTCATACTTGTTTGTTTCTATTGCCTAATTCAGTAACTTGGTATCTGCAGGAGATGTCACTTCCTAGAAGCAAATATGAAGAGGATGTTTACATCAATAACCACACCACTGTTTGGGGTTCATGGTGGAAAGATCACCAATGGGGTTATAAGTGCTGCAAACAAACAATCAGAAATAGCTATTGTACTGGTGCTGCTGGAATTGAAGCAGCAGAAGCCTCTGCTGGTCTTATGAAAGCCAACATTGCTCGTAAGGAGGCTGCTGAAGGTATATTGAAACTGCTGACATGTCTCGAAATTATCATACACCGCTTCCATAACAATCTTACTGTCATAATTCAATGTAGTTTGCTTTAAGATCTTATACCTGCTAATTTTAAGCTCACAACCTTCTGCTGAGTAGTCAGAAAGTAATTGTTTTCCGTACATGTTGTTGGAAGTTGTACTTCAACTCTTGCATTAGTGGTTTTGTCAGTACCTGTCATTGTTTTACGGATCAAATAAGTAATTTCCATTGTTTGCACGCCCTATAGAACTAGAATTGTCTCTTTTTTTGAAAAAAATGAAGTAATAGATTTTATAGGTGCATCAAGAAAATGCAATGAGTACAGATGATAGTAAGTACAAAGGAGAATTTGCTAGCTCCATTACATGAGGTTCTATGCTAGAGATATGTAGCGTAGAACTAGAATGTCTTGGATTTGGTGATGGTAAGGTTTTCTTGGATTTAGAAGAAAAATGATCCTTTTGGTGTTTAGAAGAAGAATGATGGATCAGTTTATCGGTAAACATATTCATGATCAGGATAGAGCATATGGACCTTTGGACCTTTTTTAGCTTTCTGTTGAAGTGGTAAGCATGAACTCTAGGGTTTTAGTGATTACAAACATAACGTCTACATTTCGAGACCATCTACTTAGCTTTGAATTTTTAGTGGATAGCTCCTTGGTTTCTGCTTGAATTAGCAGTCAGTTTAAACTTCATCTTATTTAATGTAAGAGTTGGCCAGCAGAGCTGCTGAGAGGATTGTTTCATTGAAGACCATATCAAGCACAATCAAAGCACATTTTTGGCAACTGTTTCTTCAGTAATTGATAACATTGTTTTTCTTTTTCTCAATATCTGATCCAGATACACATGTGCCTGTCGAGGAGAAGAGGCAAGCTACTTGGGGGACTGAAGTACCGGAAGATCTGATACTAGACCAGAAAAAGCTCACTGAAGCTATAAAGAAGGTATGCATATAAACCTATGCATGGTGCTACCTCCGTTTTTGAACTTCATGCTAATATGAATTTTGTCAGTGTATTTCCTGCTTCAAGTAATTTATTTTTTAGGAGGGAATAGTTGGTGAGGGTAGAGTTTTGGGGGTTGATGCGTGGAGATATCCAACACCACCACCAAAGAAAAAAGGAGAGAGACGCTTAGAGGAGGTGGGGAGAGATGTTTCATAGGGGACTGCCAGAGGTTGGGGTTGGGAACACTGATAACCTGACTGGATCCGTTCTTTTGACAGCTATGTCGATTCTCAGTTGTCTCTATAGCTTCTGTTTTTCTGATGTTCTGATCAAATTTATTTTGCTTTTTGAACAGGAAGAGGAGAGGAGACGAGAAGAGAAAGATGAACGGAAGAGGAAATATAATGTTAAATATAATGATGAGGTACATCTATGTCTCCATTTTGTCTTTCTGATGGTGGTTGTCTTCTTCTTCATGGTCTTTCTAACAACATTTATCTGTACAGGTTACACCTGAAGAAATGGAGGCATATAGGATGAAGCGGGTTCACCAAGATGATCCAATGAAGGACTTCCTTCACTGAATCGTAGATATGGCCAAATTGTTCACCTCTTAGGGAAAACATCAGTTGGGACCATGTGCCAGTCTTAGGTGAAATTGGGTATGATATTTTCTTTGTCGAAAATTGTATTGTGATGAAGAGTCTGTGTTGGGATTGCTTGAGATCTATTTCTTCTTTGATTTAGTACCTTAAAGTTGTATACAACTGCATGACACACTCTTTAAGAACATATGTACAATAAGATACCTAAGAATTGGGAAGCATCTATGTACGTGTAATGTGCTGTATTCACCGGTTTGTGGTTGTAATTCAGGCAAAGCCTGTTTGTTTGAAGTTCTTTCTCTGGTTCTGTATTACTGTTTGCCTTCTTTCAGCGTTTGTGTGTCTTCAGCTTTGTGAATGTGACAGATTACTAATGCATTGGCTCATTGAATAAAAAATTCTGTTGTTCCATTCAACGATCAAAATTGATTTTTTTTGGGTTATGTACATTGTGAAATGAGTGGATCAATGATCAATTCATCCTTAAACATGAAGGATGTATGTAATATTTTCCCTCCACTCGCGTTCAAGAGAGTATCGTACATCGAAAGGGGCTACACCTCGCCAAATTTCCAACACAAATATTTCATTCATCTCTTGCTTATTTTGGTGATCACTAAAGCAAGTAGTTTAGGCCATTTAATTTTTTTGTTTGCTCTTGATTACTCATAAGTTTACTGATGTCAAATGGGTAAGTTGGAGCTGAAATTGAGTAGATTAAAACAGGTGGGTTATTGGCTTGTTTAAAAGTTATTTGGGTTTGAAAACTGAAACGAATCGAGCTTAAAATGAGATTATGACTTATCCATTCCAATTCTAATTATTAAGTTTTTGTTTCTTTGTTTCGTACTTTTAAATTTTTTAAAGTACCTAAAAATATTTTGATAAAACTTTGTCATTGATCATTTTGAGCTATAACTTAGCCCATTTTTCAATAGACTGAACCGGATAAATAAAAAAGAACAAGCCACAACATTTAAATGACTTAGCTGAGTTGTATTTAGGCTAATTTTTAATTTGTCTGCACTCAAATGTATAAAAGAAAAAACTAGATTTGTATATAGTGGACAAATTTTATTCAATGCTGACAAAAACTACAAAAAAAAAAGAAAAAGAAAAAAAAACAACAAAAAACCCATACTACAATCGCTGGATCAACATATTCTCTTGACGCAGCATGTCTGCACGAAATTTAGCTATGAACTCTTCTGCTCTTTCATTAATACAATGCAATTGTGGAGATGCCAATGTCAACGATTCCCACATCTCATCATTCGTTACACTACTACTACTACTACTACTTTCCCCTTCATGGATTATCTCACCTTGTTCGGTTTCCGTTATGCAAACTTGTTTATGCTCCTTCTTCTTTGTCGTAATCATACTAGTTTGGCCAAAGTTGTTCTTCACCACAGAATCAGATATATTCTCAATGAAAAGTTGATCTATATATACTGGTGCTGATTTCTTGTGAAATTTCAGAGTAGGTCTGAATTTCGACTTGTATTTGAACTTATTGTTTGAACGTTTAGTTTTGAATTGAACTCGAAAGACAAGAGACGGGGCTAGTTTCTTGATGCATAAAGGATTTGGATTCTTGGCTTTCTTAATGACTTTGGATCTATTGAGTACTTTGTGGAAATTGATTTGTAATTTGGTGGAAAAAAACTTCCACATTTTTTGAGTTGGAAGGAGTACTCTACGCAAGTTTAAGCAATACATGGTGATTGAATTTGAAACAATGCAAATTCAGTTATGAATAAGGGGAGAAATATAACAAAAGGCTGAGATATAAGATATATAAATAGTACTAGTAGTAGTAGACTAGTAGTTATAGTCATTGGTGTAATAATATAAATTCACTGGCTTAAATTTTACGCTATAGTTTAGTGCAAAAAGAGGACAAAAATTAGGTAGTTTAAAGAATGCGTTTCTTTTCAGCAGACTTATGTCCATTTTGTTTTCTATTTCTTAAAAACAGTTTTGCTTCATAGATGCTCCAGGCTGTAAAGACATCTTGTATAACTCTTTTATTCTTTTCTTTGAGGGTAAGATTAGAGTCGGATCTAAAGTTTTTTAATTATTAAAAAGAAAAAAAATTTGAAATATATTTAAATTTTGATCGAAATTACTGTAATGATATCAAACTTTGGAAATGACCTTTTATCTCTTACACTATTTAATAGTGTATCTTAAAGGTATATATGTGCCCACATAGACATAAAAAATATTGCATAACTTTAACTAGTAATGTAACCACGTGGACAATATATATCTTTAAAATATACTATTAAATAGTGCAAGGGTAAAAGGTTCTTCATAAAGTTTGGTATCGTAACAACAATTTTGACTAAAGTTGAAATATTTTTCAGACTCTTTTCCCTTATTAAAAAGGAATACCCACTTGATATATTTTTACGAAAGCGAGTTCTTCGTCTCAATGACTATCACACATGCATATAACTTGGTCTAGTAGACAGTGGTGGAGGCATAAATTTCACTTATGTATCTAACTATCTATATATACAAATATATACATATGATTTTGTACTTAAGTAGACAATAATAATATTGTTTCAAACTACTTTCACAGTCAATAACTCATATCTCAAAAATTAACTTAAAGACAAAAGAATTGACCAAACTTTATAAGGAGATATCTCATTAATCACCAATACTGAACTTTTTAAATTCATTAACATATATCACTTTCGAATTGCTATTGTTTAGTCTCAATTGCCCCAAAAGTGGGAGATTTAGGCAATGATTCTAACCGTGTGTGGATATAGGAAATTCGTATCTACATTTCTTTTTTCCAACTTTTCCAAGATTGATCCATTTCTACATCTTCTGACTGTTTATTTTGTATTCATATTATCAATTGGCTCTGTACCATGCCTTGTATATGATATCTCTTAATTGACTCGATATTAATATTTGATATATATATCGTTGACTTATATATCACACATGATACGAGATATCTATTAATTGACTCAAATATCATGTCTGATACAAGTTCTATATTGATTTGCTCGCGTGCCTGGTATATGTGTGATTGTTTTCTGTATGTTGGTTCCGTGAGTGGACCTCTCTTCCCTACACCATCTATTTTCTATTTTTATTTTATGCCTTTGCCTTTATCCTGAGGCAACTAGCAAGATGCTTGGCTGCTAAGAGATCAAGTTGAATCAATGTCATCAGGCATAAGTTACTTGAAGAATCTACTAGTGGGACACTATTTTATTTTTTCAAATTCTGCACTAAAAAGTGATGTCGTGACCACTGATCATAAGTCAATTACAAATGTTCGAAAACAGTTTTTCGCTATTAACTTTACAAATTCCTTTGAGAAATAATGAATAATGGGGTAATATATTATATTATTTTTTGATTTTATTAAATTTAATGCTCTGAAAAATGTGGTAGATGATAAATACTTCCTCTAATCTTTAATTATTTGTCCATTTTTCTTTTAGTAGTTGTCTTTAATTATTTGTCCATTTTGACAAATCAAGAAAAGAATAAAACCCTCAATTAATTACTTTGAAAAGATAAAATTTCATGAAAATCTTAAAGTTTTAATCTATCCACTTCATAATTAATAGGGATAAGATGATAAACTAACTATGTTAATAAATTATTTTCTTAATAAGTGTGTCACTTTAAAAGTAGACAAGTAATTAGGGACAAAAGGGTTAATATTTAATAGCAACTTAACAATGATAAAATAGACACAAAAGATTAATTATCTCTTTGTTTTTTAATGTGTACAAATATATTGAACAACTATTTTTGGTATAATAAACAACTATTGTTAAACGGACAGAATATTACTTTCACTTTTAGTAACATTTCCATTGTTATGTTAAAAAAGTGACCGTGCTTTATAAGTTTTTGTTTGGACTTAATTCAAGATATACCAGGATGATTAGGTGTGATTTGCTTAGTAGGAAAAAAAAAAAGACGACCTCAAGGCCCCATTTATACAAAACAAATCAATTCCTATATTTTTCAATTTTCGAAGCTTCTTAGTCTATTTTTTTAAGAGCGAATTGATCAACTTGCATTTATTAAGTATACGATTGAATTATACAAAATTAAGCTAATATTCAGTCCTGATTAGTTTCATCTCTAATAAAGTGTGTTAAGTTTAAGAAGATTCTTAACTATTAACACAAAGAAAAAAGTGTGAGAGAGAAAAGAGAAGGACTATTGGCCCCGATGAGGCTACTAACAATATATGTACCATAATTCAGACATTGACCGTTAAATTTTAAAACTTTAATAGCGAATTTGGACAGGAAACCTATAAGTTGTTTGAAACAAACTTAAAACATTCATAAACTCTTAAACTTGTCGGTAAATTTCAATTAGACACTTGAACAATGACTTGCTCCTATTGAGCACCTCAATGCATATGGTAAAATATTCCTATTACACTTTCAATCCGAATATTTATCAAATGGTAAACTCTAGGCATGTTTTCAAAGATGTACTAGATGATTAAATTAATCCTATAAAATGTGTCATCTCTTTTAATTACGCACTCCAACCTCATTGGAATATACTTGATGTTAAGATCAACCTCAGTTGAAATATACCTAGTGTTTTACAACTTATCGAGATTGATCTAATTAATATGGATAACTTATCTACGTAACCTACATTTGAGAATATACCAAAAAAACATACATATCCAATTTGAACATGAAATATCTAAAAGAAATACTCCTATTCAACAATAATTTGAGGCCCAAATTTGTATGCTTATTTATGGATCCATTGGAGCCCAACCCAAATATTACTGCTTCCCCCAGTATTTTGAACTCAAACAGCCTGAGTGCTAGTATCAGAAAACAATGAATTAATCAAAAACAGAAGAGCTTAGACAAGTGGTATATGCAAAGACTGAAGGTGTAAGCAAACCAGCTCAACACTTCAACACGTATAGTTTCATGCAAATTAAACCAACACATCTTTGATTCCTTTAAACAGCCATTGCAAGGTGTCATTTATGTTCACCATGCAGAAAAAAACAGTTTCACCATGCAGAAGAAAACAGGTTAATGCCACACGGCAATCATGCTTGTTCCTCTCAAACACTATAAAAACAGAGGCCTCTGTTTCTCCAAATCTCATCTCATCTTTGTATTTTTTATATTATATAATCAATTAGTAATAAACAATAAAAACTCCTTAGCCATGGCGGTCTCTACTAGGGTCTTGTTAGCTTTACTCTTCTCTGCTTTTCTCTTATCTGCAGCAAATGCATATAGACAATATCCGTTTCAGCAGGGTCAGCACGGTCAGAGAAGCATTCCTCTGACTCAAGCTCAACAATGCCGCTTACAGAGGCTTACTGGAAGCCAGCCCTCTCAGCGCATTGAGTCAGAGGGCGGGTACACTGAGGTGTGGGATGAGAATGAGGAGCAATTCCAGTGTGTTGGAGTTGCTCCTATGAGGAATGTTATTCGTCAAAATTCTCTCTCTTTGCCTAATTTTCATCCCATGCCTCGCTTGGTTTATATCGAGCAAGGCAGGGGATTGATTAGTGTGATTAACCCTGGTTGTGCCGAGACTTTCCAGTCTCAGACCTTCCAGGCTGGCCGAATGGCAGGTGAAGAGAGGGGTGAACGCCGCGGAAACGACCAGCACCAGAAGGTCCACCGCATTCGCCAAGGCGACGTTGTGGCAATTCCAGCTGGTGCTGCTCATTGGTGCTACAACGACGGTGAGGAAGAGCTAGTAGCCGTCTCCATTAACGATCTCAACCATCGGTCCAACCAGCTTGATCAGAACTTCAGGGTAAATTCTATTCCTATTAAAGATATATAGAATGTATACCAAATCCTACTTGATCTTTAAATACGTCAGATGAAAAAGTTAAATTACCACTTCTTTTGGTAATCTGATGAAATTTTTATGCATGCAATTTCATAACGATTATACTTAAAAAGAAATTACAGGCAATTGGTAACTAGATCTTGCTAGTTAACCTACACAAATCAATGTACTCATGTTAACTTCGTATTCTTTCATAACTCGATGTACTTATTGGTCGACTGTACTATTTGTGTGGATTTTAGGCATTCTACTTGGCCGGTGGAGTACAAGAAACTAGTGGAAGGCAAATTGGTGTAGGAAAGCAAAGCACACAGAAGTTCCAGAACATTTTCCGTGCTTTTAACACAGAACTGATGGCAGAGGCCTTCAACATCCCCGTAGAGATTGTTAGGAGGATGCAAGAAGAACAGAACGAACGTGGACTAATTGTTAATGTCAGGGAAGGAATGAGCATGATTAGGGCTGATGAAGAAGAAGAGGAATTCGAAGGGCGATCACAACGAGGACAGCGATGGTGGGCAGAAGTAACTGGAAATGGCTTGGAAGAAAACATTTGCACAATGAAAATCCGCACCAACATGGATACTCAAAGACGAGCTGATATCTACTCAAGGCAAGCTGGCAAAATTAAGCATGTTAATAGCCAAAATTTTCCCATCCTTAGAGACATGGACATGAGTGCCTCTAAAGGAACCCTATATCCGGTAATTCAGTCAGTGTTATTTCTAAATTGATCAAAAATAAAAAAAAAATAATTCTTCTAGTACTATTGACTTGGAAATGATTAAAATTGGTGGATTGCAGAACGCACTGATGAGCCCTCACTGGTCAGTGAATGGACACAGCGTGATCTACGTGCAAAGAGGAGATGCACAAGTGCAGGTAGTAGACCACACCGGGCAACAAGTGATGAATGACAGGGTAAATCAAGGAGAAATGTTTGTAGTCCCTCAGTACTATGCCTCAACAGTGAAAGCAGGGCAAAATGGATTTGAATTCGCGGTGTTTAGGACAAGCAGTCAACCAATGAACAGCCAACTTGCAGGTTACACATCAGTGATTAGAGCAATGCCAATTGAGGTCCTCACAAACGCGTACCAGATATCGCCAAATGAAGCACA